CCTTGCGTAATGCTAATGTCGGCGGCGGTACTGTAACATTCGAGCCTTGTAACTCGAGAAGTACGTAATGAAAAAATATTTTATTATAGTGTTTTAGAAAGCTCTCGAGATAAGCTACAAGAATATTCAACGAAAAATGGGGCTTCCCGTTTAAAAAAATGACCTTGACCTTCAAATGACCTTGAAAATGAAGGACAAGGTCATTGTCAAGGTCATAGTTCAATCAGCCCTTTCATATCCAACAATTTTTGTTTTAAACATTTTTTTATTTAATCGCGATGTTTCGAGTTATTTGGCTGTCTAAGTTAAAATGGGTCACCCTGTATATAGCAAAAATGCAAGATTTCAAAAAGTTCATTTGTTGATATGAAAACTAAATATTTCGGATTTCTAATATTTTTTTCATAATACTAGACAGTACAAAGTTTTTAGTGATATAGTTCGTTTATTTTAAACATAGTAAATAATACTTAATAAATTAAGTTTTTGATAGGTGCGGTGTATATATATATATATATACCGGAGTTACCCTAACATTTTATAATATTATTAATACTATTATAGGTCAAGCCATGACTGCGTTTCAAGATTGGAGAGAACTTTATTGCACAGTGTATAAAATTGTCTAGTGTACTTATATAAATTTGAAATATAGTCATACTGAAATATTTAAATAATAAGATCAACTTTGGTTGATTATAGGATTTCATTTACCTAATTGATGGAATTAAAATTTATTTTTCTAATTATAAAAAATTTTGTATACGGTTTATAGCATATACATATGCATGCATATATTATTTCTCGGTAAAGTTTATTTATAAGCCTGTCAAATCAGGAACAAAAATCTTCTTTAAATAAAATTAATATTTCCTGTAATTAAGATAATTATTAATTTATAAGATATATGTAAAACAAGAAATGAAAGGAATAAAAAAAAGACTAAATTGATAATGTATAATTGTATGAAATATATTTATAAACGGTATAGCTAATGTCACGAAATTATCATTGTATCAGTAGAAAGTTTATGATTGATCACTATAATGAGACAGAACCATATTGTAACAATTTCATTAAACCTATTATAACAATAAATGATTGACATTATTAAGAAATAATTTGATATTGTAGCAGTGAACATAGACTATGCAAACGTTCAAAGAAATAAAGTATTTATTTTTATCTAAGAGATCAATTGACCAATAATGTTGGTCTTTTATATCTTTAAAAAGATTGTTAAGTATTCGTGAGGGACGTCGAACTCGGCTCGATGAAAATGCTTTGCGTGTCGCACTTCGTCGATGGACCGAGGTTAGATTCCGTATCACGCTGTGCTTTTCGATGTGACTTCTCGAAAGCGGCGTGGTCAAGACAAAATTCGTCTTTTAGTTTAATTATTTATTTACCTCCTGGATAGCTACTCGAATTTACAATAAACTTCGTGCAGTGATACCTCGTATCCACGACTAGCCGTACAGAACTTCAGTAGTGTAATGGTTAGATAGGTAGGAGACAGTTACAGCAAAAAAGGTGAATCGCACGCAGGAAAGAGGCACGTAGTAATACAAGAACGCGTCGCGCGCATACAAAGTTCAGCTTGTCGGTAACGTAGGAATTGATAGGCCGTAACGAAGCCGATTACGCAAAGAAAACATTTTATTCTTAACAACGCCCGCCTTGAAGGGGTTGTCCTTCATCTTACTTACTAGTAACAAAATAGAATGCAAAACTTGACATAACGATCAAATTAAATTTCACTTAAGGCCCGTTTCTACCACTTTTGTCTTAATCTCCAGTTTAGCCAAACTTTCGTTAAAACTAAACCTAGATTTGACGCTGATTGGTTTCTACCACCGTTATAATGCAAACGTTTAGCTAAACTTATAACCTATGAAATTAATAAAATAATAAGTGGCTTAAGTTTAAAAATTGTAAACAATAAGGAGCATTCAGCCACAACGCTTGATGTGTTTAGCTTAATATATATATTTCAAAATAAAATTAGGTAAACGTTAATCACCAGAGCTGACAAGAGTAACACTACTGTAATTTTAAATCGTAATGACTATAATAAAAAAATGTATGAAATTTTGACTGATAAAAATACTTACAAGACTATTGAAAAAGATCCCACCAATAAAATGACGACGGAAATAGGTACAATTTTGACACGTTGGAAAAAGAGAGGTTACATAGACCAATCCACTTATAGGAAATTATATATTTCTGATGGGGATTGTCCTAGATCGTATGGGTTGGCCGAAGTACACAAGAACGCGGTTATCCATTCAGAATGATTGTTAGTTGCACTAATAGTCCATTTTTTAATCTTGCTTCATATCTAAAAGACATTATTGACAAAAGCATTAAAAGGAATGTTGGATACATAAAAAATAGTTTCGAACTCGTCAAGAAAATTAATGGCTTAATATTGAATAAAGACTATAAGTTGGTATCATTCGACATCACATCCATGTACACTAACATTCCAAATGATTTAGCCATTGATAGTATTTTAAGGAGATGGGATTTCATAAAATGTAACACTACAATCCCAAAAAACGAATTTAAAATTGCTATCTCCATCATATTAAATTTGACGTTTTTTAAAT